CTTTTTGCAACAATGAATTACAACAACTTCAAAATTTGCATATCCCGCGTTGGCTAAAAGTAGTCGCGAACTGCACCGTGGAATTACACGCATTCTCTGATGCCTCGAGCGCAGCGTACGCTGCTGCAATATACATAAAAGTAACAATTGAGAGCTATACTTCAGTTAATTTGCTAATGGCGAAAACGAAAGTGGCACCTTTAAAACTACTGTCAATTCCACGACTGGAATTGTGTGGTGCTCGTCTCGCCGCGGTTCTCTTCACAAAAACCAAAGATGCATGATCCGTCAAATTGGATCGATGTCTACTGTGGACGGACTCCGTAACTGCGCTTTGTTGGATCCGATCATCCCCAGGCAAATTGAAGCAGTTCAGAACGTCACTTCCGACGCAGCCTGGCCACTGTGGTGGAACGGGCCAGCATGGCTTTCTTTGAATGAACAATACTGGCCTCAACATAAAATAAATTTTCCGGAAAAATATCCCAGAAACCAGAGAAATCACTGTTTGTACAGTACAACTTAATAATCAGGACTGGTTGTATACACATACTATAATTGGATGGCGCTTACGGTTTTCAAATAAGTGCCGAAACAAATCGAGTGTTCTGGCATCGTTTTTCACCTGGCCAGAACGGTACAAAGCGCTAAAGATACTCATTAAGATGACGCAACACGCTGAATTTAAGCATGAAATGTTAGCTCTACAACAACAAAAAGAACTTTCAAAAAAAAGTAAGCTTATAAAGCTGAGTTTAATACTGGATTCTGAAAGCATTATGCGTCTAGCATCCTCTCACGTCTTTAATTGTGCACCATGCTCATCATCGGTGTCTTCATGGCGGTACGCAAGCAACACTGGGTTATCGATGGGCGTACGGAAGTGAAACGCGTAATACGCAGCTGTGTCAAATGTTATCGACATAGTTGCACCCCATACAACCAAATGATGGGCGATCTTCCGGCAGCATGTTGCACTGTAACGTTCCCGTTCATGCACACCGGCGTCGATTACGCTGGACCATTCAACGTACGAGCAACCAAGGGGCGGGGACACAAGACCTATAAAGGTTACGTGGCATTGTTCGTTTGTTTGGCCAGTAAAGGCATTCATCTTGAGTTGGTAAGCGATATGACAACTCAATCATTTATTCATGCATTAGAACGTTTTGTAGCTGCACGTGGCATCTGCTCAGACATGTATAGCGATAGAGGTACTACATTTATTGGTGCTGACGCGCTCATGAAAGAGAAACTTTAAAATTTTCGGAAGCAGTTAGACGCCGCAACTAGCTATGCCTCACGGACTGGTATAAACTGGCATTTCATACCCCCAGGAGCTCCAAACTTTGGCTGGCTTTGGGAAGCCGGCATTAAAAGCATGAAAGCCTTGCTAAAACGCACAATCAACACTACAACACTCACCTTTGAAGAATTTTACACAGTGCTCAAGCGAGTCGAATCGTGTCTAAGCTCTAGACCACTTGCTGCACTCACAGATGATCCTACGGATTTCGCTGCGTTGACACCAGGGCACATGCTTATTGGGCGCGCTCTTACCAGCGTGCCAGAACCTAATCTTCTCGATACAAAGAGTGGTCTTTTGTGCCGCTGGAAACAACTTAGCCAGATATATCAAGACTTCTGGCGCAGATGGTCTGCAGGGTATTAGATCATTTGCACGTTCGGTCCAAATGGCACAAACAACAACCAGAACTTGTGCTTGTTAGAGATGAAAAAGCACCCCCTGCTCAATGGAAACTGGCTTGAAGTACAGATACCCATCCGGGCTCTGATGGGCTTGTTCGCGTCGTGAGTTTAAGAACAACAACTACCGCGATACAACGGCCAATCTCGAAGATATCTGTGCTGCGGCGAACATGATTTTTCGTCGAAATACGACGAGGTGGGCGGGAAATGTTACGGATTTCCTGAACACTTCCCAATAATGAACTCAAATAGCTGTCGACGTACGATGAACAAACAAACACGTCTCTGGGCAGTGGAACAGTTACGGTATCATCGGTAAAACGCACGCGATTTTCACTACGCATGTAATTTTTCTCCCGCTCATAATATATGTATTTATTCCATTTAACATCATCATAATTGTCACTAAAATACTTTAATAAATATTCTCGCGTTTAGTACCAAGAAACGATTGCTCATCATTTACCTTGTAAGAAATTCCTGGCATCCCTCAACATAACCCCAAACAGTAGGTGTACCTCTTAAGTCTATGGAATTATATGTACTAGAGTGCCAGTTACTGTCGATATTCGACAGTTTTTCTAGTTTTAGAAGCCTTGGAGAGGTTTTCTAACTTAACACGTAGCAAAACTTATACGGTACAAATTAACTAACCGGAAAATTTTCTGCTAAAACGTAACTAATTTTTTTTTTATCTGAAGGCCTTCGGAGGACTTCGGCAGGACTTGGAATTGACCCGATACATCCAAGTTTATCGATAAATTTCAATGATTTGATACATATCAATAGTTCGATGGATTTCAAGAACACTAAAATTCGATAACTCAAAAAAATTCGTTAACTCAACCAATTTCGATAACTGTGAAATTCGATGGCTCGATAAATTTCGATAGCTCAAAAATGTAAAAACTTTGGATACCTTTATAAATTTTTAATTTTAACATCTCCACATTTTTCGAAAACTATCTAAACATTTTGATAACTCCTTACACTCTGTTAAGACGATTAAATTCGATAAGCAGTGACAGCTCGATAAGCTTATATAACCTTGACATTTCGATAAATCGATATATTTTGAAAATTCCATAAACTTCGCTTCGTTGAACCAACCAATTTCAGTAGATCAATAATTATCGATAACTCTGTAAGTTGAAAGAACTGCATGCATTATGACACCTCGATAAATTTCGTTAAGTCTATAAATAATGATAATTCAATAAATATCGATAACTTGATACATTTCTTTAACTTGACAAATTTCGTTAATCCCACACGTTTTTATAGCTCGATAACTATCCGTAAATTTGGACAACTAAGTTTCTGTGTCTATAAATTTCCACAACTCAGTAAACATTGATCAGTTTGAATAATTCAATACGTTGCGATAACTTAATAAGCATGGATAAATTTCGATTATTATAAACTTCGATGATTCGACAAATTTCAGTAACCTTTATGGCTGATTTTATTTCGATTCCTATCGGAAAATTTCAACTCTGTTAACCTAATTCTTGTGTATTTCTCATTGTCTCCATTTTCGCCTTTATCTCAATTTTCGTCATTATCTTCACTTTTGCCTTTTTTGTCCTCATCGTTACCACTTGTTTCTTCATCTTCATATTTATCTTTATTTCAAAGTTTAATTTCAAATACGAAGTAAAACAAAATGCGAAACAGCTTAAATTAAACAGGTTGCAAAAACAACCATGCACAAATATGGAAATTTTTAAACGACTATTTTCAACCAATTTCGAAACTATAAAAACTCTCCTCATCTACAGAAAATTACCTTTCCAACGGTGTTTTTGGTTTTGAAATGGGTAACTTTACCTTGGTCTTCATCTTTGTTTTTATCTTTCACATCTTTGCTTATATCCTTTTCTTTTTCTATTCACGTAGATGAGATAAGGTGCGATGACGTGATAAGATGTGACGTGATTTTATGTGATGGGATAGGATGTCATGTCATGTGTTGTCACATCCTCTGATGTCATGTCATATGATGTCATATCATATGATGTCATATCATGTGATGCCACGTCATGTAATGCCATGTCATGTCATACGATGTCATATCATGTGATGTCAAGTCATGTGATGTCATGCCATATAATATGATGTCATATTATATAATGTCATGTCACGTGATATCGTGTGATGTAATATCATATTATGTGATGTAATATCATGTGATGTCTCTTTATATCATGTGATAAAATGTGATGTGATTCATGTAATGTGATCACATTCCATGTTTCGATTAGTATATCGATAATCCTGTTGATAACTGTGTCGATAAAAATACCGATAACAATATCCATAAACATATAGAAAAATACAAAGATTGTAAAATCGATTAATTCATCGATAAATATAACAATCATCAGTATCGATTATTGTACATATCGGTAACAATATAAATGACTAAATCGATAACAAAATCAATTATTTAATCAATTATTATACCGATAACAATATCCATTATTGTATCGATAATATTATCGATTATTATATCGATTACAATAGCGGTTATTTAATCAATAACAGTATCGATAAAAATATCGATTATTATATCGATAAAAATATCGAGTTTTATATCGATAACAATATCGATCTTCATCCTCGTCCTTTTCTTCATATTTATCTTTATTTTTGCATATTCCTCTTCACCTTTACCTTAAAGTGTTTAAATTTACTTTGATCTTCGTTTTTGCCTGTACCTCTAGACATCTTTGTTTTTGTTTTTATTCTCAAACCGCTAAACCGCTGAGAACTATTTCCATGTGCATTATTCCCCTTGAATTTGACAATTGACAATGACTCCCAACCAACCAACTGCCCCTAAAGAAGTTTCACTTCATAAATTCAAGAAATATTCTTACCCTTTTAGTTACCCTAATTCTTATGTATCTGTCATTGTCTCCATTTTCGTCTTTATCTTCACTTTTGCCTTCCTTTTTTTTTGACTTCATCGTTATCATTTATTTCTTCATCTTCATATTTATCTTTATTTCAAAGCTTAATTTCAAATGTATAGTGAAACAACAGGCGAAACATGTCAAATTGAACAGGTTGCAGCAACATCTATACACAATTCGAAAATGTTTAAACGACGGTTTTGGCCGTAATTTTCAACCAATTGTGAAACCATAAAAACTCTGCTCATCTACGGAAAAATGAAATCGGTTCGGTAGAATCGCTAAACGAACGGAGACAAAATTTTTGTTAGCGTATTAATATATAGATAATTAACTACGTGTACGTAAGTAGTAAATTTTATAGGTAATTCAGTCAGGTCGGTAAGTCGAGTAGCAAAATCAGGTAGGAAAATCCGGTAAGTATATTACAAAACAATTGAATTGAGTTAAGCAAAAATTAAATTTCCTATTTTTTCTTCCTTTTAGGATTATTATTATCATTATTAGTATTGGAATTTATATTAAGTTCTTATTATAGGTGGCCGACTTGTTTTTATTTTAAATGTTTATTTATTTAGAATTATTTCATTTGAATTTTCACGAAATTTGTATTTTATGCTAATTTATGTTAAGTTCTTTTAGTTATATAACTTTCGTGTATTTATCTATTAAGTTGTTTATTTAAAATTACGTTATTTTAAATCTTACTATACGGTAGTTTTCTTTTTTCTTCTCTTTTTTACGTTAGTTAATGTTATTTAATTTTAATTAACTTGGTTGAATTTTTATTTAATTTAATTTAGTTTAAATAAATTCAATTTGATTTAACTTAGTTTTATGTTAGTTATTTATTTAAGGTTAAAAAAAATTTCCATCGATAACTTAAATCTGTGACACACAATGGCTAGAGGCGTCGCCTGAGTGCATTCTTTCATATATTTATGTATGTGCCAGTTTTACCGTTATATATTTTTTATCTACTCCTTTATTCCATGGGGTCTTCATGCTTTATTTAAATGTAAAAATTAAATTACTATACCGTTTTAAAAATCTGAAAATTCACTGCGGGAAATGTTTTTATCCTCCTTTTGTCTTCGCCTTCTCGTTTTTGCCTTTATAAGTTTTGAAAAAGGTTCTGAACGAACCATTATATCACATTCCTAGGCAAGTTTTGAAAGAATATTTTCGATACTAAATTGTATTAAAACAAAATGTCGAAATCAGCTTCATATAGAAACAGTGTCATCGTTAATTAAGAAAGAGATGTTCTTAAATATCTTAACTTTACGACACTCACATATTGACTAGATTTGACTATTTATTTTATTATATTTTAATTTGAATTATTTGTTTATAAAAATATAGTTTATTCCTTAACAAACACTAAATGAAAATAAGTTTATCTTTGTATGGGCCAAATTTCTATGAATTTTGTTTGCCGGGTTGGAGCTGCTTCGGCCGATGGAGTAAAAGGCGAAATGCTTATATTTTTCCCTTGTCCCTCCTACGCGTTTCGATACTGTCGTGTCATCTTCAGGGAGTACTAAATATTGACAAGAATTTTACATTAATTTGCACACATTGAAGGTAATACAACATTTACCTCCCTTAGTACTCCCTGAAGATGACACGAGAGTGTCGAAACGCGTAGGAGGGACAAGGGAAAAATATAAGCATTTCGCCTTTTACTCCATCGGCCGAAGCAGCTCCAACCCAGCAAACAAAAATAAGTTTAATCTGTGAACAACATTAAAAAAAATCGACAAACTTTCGTAAAAATTTCGAACTTTCTATTTTAATATTTTGCAGTTTTTTAGCTCATTCAATTTTAGTCTAATAAAGTGCAAATTTAAAGTAGCTGTGATTTATAGTTGATGTATGGCATATTTTTGACGATGTCGGTAATTTTCTTCCATATTATCTAAGTATGTTCGACGATGTTTTTTAAATGAAGAAAATGAGCAACGCCTTCATAAATATAAAAAAATATTAAAAATTAACGATAAGTCGCAGGTATATATTTTAAACTTGCGCTTTATTTGAATTGATCGGGCTACAAAACTGCATACTCAAAATATGTATTTCTAGGAAATCTAACTAAAAAGCTTTACGAAAGTTTGTTGATTTTTTAATGTTGCGAAAAGATTAAACTTTGGATTTATACGGGTTTTGTTAAAGTGTAAACTGCATTTTTATAAACAAATAATTAAAATTATATAATTTTAAGATAAACGGCGAATCTAGTTAACATGTATAAAGTTTTGATAAGCACTAGAAATGTCAAGTTTTAGTATACTGAAAATAAAATTTCGTAAAAGTGCTACGAAAATCTTTCGTAGTGTTGGTTTTTTTACAATGTACGAAACTTTCGTTCATAATACGAACACATTTTTCACAACGAAACAAGATTTTACGAACCATACGTAGATATAACGAAAGGACTTTCGAAAGGCATTTTTTCAGTACAATTTACGAAATCTTACGTTTATTTTACGAAACACATTCGTAAAGCACTGAACAAATCTATGTACGAATAATTTTGTATATTGTAGGAAGGCATTCGTAATATTTACGCATGGTTTTAAAATTTACGAAATTTACAATTCTGTATTCGTACAATTTAGTTAATACTTTCGTATAAAGTACAAATGCAGAAACATGTTTTTTAAATTCGTACAACATACGAATATTTTCGTACAATATACTCAATTACCGGCAGTTTAATATTTCATCATATTTTTTGTATCGCGTGTCATTGCGGAATTAATTGTTGGCTGCTGTGAAACGTATAACATAATTTTAAACGTTTTAAAAAGGGATTTGCTGGATAAAAAAAACAATACAAAATTAAATATTAAAGCTATGGATATACTATGCTCTTAAGCATACAATGTTTTTAACATCGCCTACGCTGCGCCTTGCGCTGCAATGTGGGACTTGATAAATAGGCAATTTCATCAGTTACCTATCAACGGCAAGCCAGGAGCACTACTTAATTTAATTAAAAGTAAGTACATGTATGACTTTTCACTGAAACTTTCTTTTCAGGCGCCTTATAATTTTCCTCTAATCGTAATATGTACGAAAACGGTTTTGTACAATCAACGAAAACTTTCGTGGCTCAAAATGACGAAAAATTTACGCAAGTTTTCGTTATATTCACGCAGATTTTATTTTCAGTGTACTTATTTTAAAGAAGATGTCTCTTTTACACATTTATAATAACTTAAAAAAATTTGTTTGTTAAGAAGTGTATCTTAAAATGTCTGCCTTGACAATTATGTTAAAAGTGTAAAATATGTAAATGTACCTACATAAACTTTCCCGTGAATACCATCAAATCATTGGCCTTGAAGGGAATTAGAGGTGGGTAACTCAACTCAGAGTTGAGTTATTGAGTTGATTCCCATCAGTGAATCGGTAACTCAGACTCCCTGTCAAAAAAAAGTTTAACTCAGTAACTCAGTTGATGTCCTAAGGCTCACATGATTCAACTGAATCATAGTGGCTCATATTTGTCCATATAACTGTCTCACTTCGCCACAGTGTTTAGCATGAAAATGAGTCAGCAGTAGTAGCAAAGGAAATGGTCAATATAACTCTCCCTGATTCGCCACAGTGTTTAGCATGGCAAAGACTTGCGTTTGCAACACCGAGGCGAATTCATGAATTACAAAATCAGCTGATTGTTTCTAGGGCGAAGAAAGAAAACTTGAAGAAATCTTTCTCGTTTAAGGTGTGTCGGAATGAAAACACGAAAACATGAATTTTAATAAAATTTTAAGTAAATTAACGCGTTGGGTGCCTTTATTGTGTGATGAATAGACAGAAAATTTAATTTATTTTGGAAATTCTGCGGACACCACTTCTATAGTGATGTTTCAATTTATGTACGGGCGTTGGATTCATTCGTAGGCAAAGCGGGGTGCTCCGGGTACCAGATGGAGAATATTCTCAGGTTATGGCATGTGTGGGTCAACAGAACGTTGGAGGTAAACTTATACAACGCGGTAACCAGACCGTCGGCGCACAACGCCACAGTTAATTTTATACAATGAGGGTTTTCAGTCGCACCGTCGGAAATTCGCTTTGGGCCGGCTGAACGCCTTTCTACGCTATATGTGGTCGGGAGGGTCTTAACGAAACTACTGAAACCAGGTATATTCAACGTCGTTTGTTAAAGGTTGTGGAATCTGCTTTGTTTAAGTTCGACTCAGTTTTGATTGGTCAAATGAACGTTATATGCGTGAGGTTTTCAAAGGTGATGTGACCTAAGAGTTGAGGGAAGGAAATGCTCCCCCCCGAATGAGAAATCGATGGGTATCAGTTTTGTCGCAAGCATCAAGCGAAGGTATTACACATTATCTCTCAAATTACATATAAGCAATGTATTTTATTATCTCGCTTTGAATTCCCTAGGTTATATTGCTGTGCAACTTACAACATGATTTGGAATGTACAGACAATTTTCCATATCTCTCTGTTCATGTGGTGCAGCGGTGTTAATGTGGTGGACAACAATCTCTCTCCAACGCTACGCTGCTGTTTCAGTAATTTTTTAGTTCTACGCCATGCACAAAGTCAGTAGCTCTGTGTAAATACAGAAGCTTTCGAATGGCTCATTGAGACACTTTTCCACATACACAGCTTGTAAACGTAAGGAGGGTCATCGTAAAAACTGTAATACAGGTTCGCCTTAATATTTAATTTGAAGTTGCCTTAAAATTACTTTAGATAATTTATGCCGTCAGTTATTTGTTTGAGTATACATATTTATGCAAATTGGAATACACATACAATATTTTAATTTAAAAGTTTTATAAATGTACTAACTGAAGACATGAATAAATAATGAAGGTGGTATGTCGCAAAATTACGATTCGAGAAAATTATATAAGTTTAAAGTTTCGCATAAAGATAAAAAATAGTGTGTTCAACACGTATGTAGTTAGTTTCTAAATTTTTCATAACAACAGCTGATTTACGGCTAAGAAATATTTATATGTATATAACATCTTCATCCATGCATAAAACAGCGAAAATCCCAAAATGGGACGTAAAACCTTCAATTACTCATTTCTTCAACTATACTCGTAAAAAAATATTTTTTTCACCTAAGCACCACCGAGATTTTTTCTAAATTTTTATTTTATTGTAAACATTTTCTCGACGGGAAGGCTTGCACTTAGCCAGCTGCCGTACTCCAGCATTAAGTCAGAATTAGTCCGGAAGATAGTACTGAAGATATTATTAATGTGTATACAGGAACGAATTCCGGCTATTTCTGACTAAATCGTGAGTAAGGAGAGAGGCTAATTACTGGGTACAGTGATGTGCTATAGAAATGTCGGCGCTTCAATAAAAAAATAGGTACATATATAACACTTTGTTTATTTTTTATACATTTATTTCAAACAACACGGAACAAATATTAGCAATTTTATGTTATGCAACTAAAAATACAAAAATAAATTAAAAATTTTGATACAAAATGTATGTATATTAATAAAATACGATGTTTATATGAAGCGAGTTCGCAGGCAACTTTTGGTTGAAAGCACACAGTCGCCTCCAGTTTGGAAAATTAACTTTTTTGTGATAAAGTCTAATATCTCGGGAACAAGTACAGCTAGCAAAATAAGTTTAACAGTATTTTAAAGCTTTAAAGATGAAGAATTTAGGAAGAAATTATCGTTGGACAAAAAATTATCTTTACCTTCAAATTACTGTCAAATAAAAGGATTTTCATTTTTTTTCTTTTTTGACCTGAAAACATCATGCAATGATCATTGTAAAAACACATTGTGAAGATACTGTTTTAATGCATATATGTAAAAACACATTGTGAAGATAGGTTACTATCAATATAGAAGTATTACATATATGGTTTGAAGGTCTCATTGAGTAAAAAATTACCTTGACCTTAAGTACGAACCTCAAAAGTAAAATTTTTGAATTTGTTTCCTTTGTTTTTGACCTAAAAACTTCATGTAATAAACTTGAAAATAAAATTTAATTAATAAATTAATTTAATTTATTGACACAAGTATAAAAAAAGTTTAAAACTTTTTACATGTCTCATTGCATACTGTTTTCAGGTCAAAAATTAAAAAAAAAAATTAAAATCCTTTATTTTTGAGAGTAACTTGAAAGGTTAAGGTAAATTTTTGTCCAACGATACTTTTTTCCTAAACTCTTCATCTTTAAAGCTTTAAAATACTGTTAAATCAATTTCGTTAGCAGTACTCGCTTTTGAAATATTAGATTTTGTCAAAAAAAGTTCATTTTCCACACTGCGCCTTCCAACTAATCGCTTATACAATAGAACTAAAAATATGACTTCGTCGGAAAAACTAAATAAAAGAATATAATACCCAATCACATTGTTATTATAAAGGGAGATCATTTATTACGAAGAGACAAACCTGCCGCCATTTGCACAAAAATTTTTTTGGATTCTTATTTAAACATCTTTTCCTAAATTATAGTTTAAAAACACAATTTGCGATATTTTGCCCGTATCTAGCCTCACTCGTTTTTCGTTAACTATTTGTCCAGCATGGGAAAATATTCGTTCACAAGGGACTGAAGTTGCCGAGATACATAGTCGGGTTTTAACAATTTGGTATAGCCTAGGGTAGGTAAGTTTTCTTTCTTTCCACCAGTGTAATATATCATTACTCATACCCTGAATATTTTTTCTTGGTAAAAGAGGTTCATTTAAATATTTGTCAACTTCTACAATTGCAGATGAAAGCTGGCAACTAGGACGTATATAATTTTGAGCCACGGTATCAATCGAATCCCATATAAACTTTTCACCCTCAGTTAGCAAAGAAGTCGTCTCTTCTCTTTGCACATTACTGGACTGATTTTGCTGCTCATTGGTGCTTGTCTCAAAATCAATTTCATTTTGAATAACAGTGTTTGCTACTTTCCTGTAAAGTGCTTGCAGCGCTTCATCATAATTTTTTTTGTTTATAAACCCGTAATTTTTTATACGCGGATCTAAAATAGTTGCTTGCGCTATAAGTTCGTTTTTCTCTAAATCTTTGAATCGCACATTTAGTTCATTTAGTAGCTTCAGAACTAATCTTTGTGCAGATGGTGTTAAGTCATCAAATTTATAAGCGTTCAAATGTTTGTGTAATTGGCGTACGTATACTATTACTGACGAGGCACTGACATATTTTTCGCCGCTGATGGCATGTGTAATGTATTGAAAGACTTTCATTATTTCCATAGTTTGCTGTACCGCCTGCCGTTCTTCATTTGTTAAGAGCTCAATATTAGTTAGTACTTCATCTCTCACTTGCCCAGATGACTGTACCACAGCTACAGTTGCAATTACGGCATCTTTCATTTTCAGAATTCGTTCTAGCATATCGAACGTTGAGTTCCATCGCGTGGGAACATCATTAATCAATTTTGTGACTGGTAGCTGCATTCGAGCCGTGGTGCCTTTCAGCTGTGAATATGCATGCGAGCTTTTTTTGAATAAACGCACGATTGCTTTTACTTTATCTAGAATAGTTTGCATTTCTTTTAAGCCCGACTGTGCAACTAAATTTAGGGTGTGCGCAAAACATCCCCAATGCCGCCACTGTCCTCCACGAACTGCTGCCTTCATATTAGCTGCGTTGTCAGTAACTACAGCTGTGACCTTATTATTCAACTCCCAATCTAGCAAAACCTCTTGCAGTTTTTTTGTTATATTATCTGCAGTATGACGCTCTGAATATGATACGCAGGTCAACAAATCCGACTCTAAACTCATGCGATTGTTATCATCAGCAATGTAATGAGCTGTGACACCAATGAAATTGTCTTGGGCCCGAGAAGTCCATCCATCCATTGTCAAACATACAGCAAATGCTCTGCTTAAACGTGCTTTTACTGTCATCACAGTTTCATTGTAAATGGCTTGCATTAATGAGGACGACACAGTTTTCCTTGTGGGGAGTTTATAACTTGGATTAAGCATATGCACCAGAGTCTTGAACTCCGGGTCTTCAACGACGCTGAACGGATGGTACTCCCTAACAATCATTTTCACCACTTGCCGATCAATTTCCTTTTGTTTTTTTTGTTGAAAGTGGTTTTTTTAAATAATCATCTATTCTTGACCTGCGTGGTGCGACAACTGGTGGTAGGGATTGTGCATCTGATGTTTGCACCTGAGGAGTGGAGTTGCCATTATTATCGTCCGGGTCCACTCTTATTGGTGGCTCTTGTCTGGTAATCCTTTGCATGGGGTGCTTATTATTGATATGGCGCAAAAGGTTACATGTCGATTTGTTTGCCACAGAAATCTTTTGGGAGCAGAGTCGGCATTGCACTTTTTTCTCCTTCTCCTCCGAAAACAGCAACCACACATCACTGGTCTTTCGTGACATCAGGAACACCTGTACGTTAAAGATTCTAAATATGTATGTATAAATAATATTTATAAATAATTTACTTACGCAATATGGATAAGTCGATTACAATATTTAAAAATTTACGTTAACCGGCCTGTTCATGAATAATTTTTCTCCTTAGTTCGATCGGGTACCAAAAGGCAGTTAAGGCTGTTTCTTTGATAATTTTGAAAAAATCAAGTAAGCTGCGAGTTTATTTGAATTAACGGAAACATATTAGGTTTGTATAGTAACTTCTCCAGTAATAATTGCAGCGAGAGCGTAAAAGCATAATAGAGCGTAAAATTGAGAAGAGAAAACTAGCAGAAAAAGTTACTGAACACAAAACTAGTAAAAACTTGCAAGTGAACAGTTGTTGTACCTACTAGTTGTACCCAGGTACACCCCACCTAATAATATAAAATTATTTTACTTAAAAACCATCCTTATGAAATTGCATTTAAATTTAGCTTTTCTCCATTTTGTAGAAAATTTATATTTTTAGGATGTCACCAAATTTTAACTCGTTATTATCAGTAGTTTATAATAAAAATTGCACTTGAATATGCAAAAGTTACCCGGGTACCCATCTATGAACAGGACGGTTAACTTGCAATCCAAATTTCAACCCTGGCATAAAGTTTCAAAATATGAGTCAAGACAAGGCGAATTTATACAAACAAATTCGCCTTGAGTCAAGACATCACATTCAAAACGAGTCTACGATACGAATGAGTGTAACATACAAAGAGTCAAATGAGTTAGTTGAATGAGCTGACTCCTTAAAGTGAGTCGGAGTTATTGAGTCAACTCCTGCCAATTTGCTGAGTTACCCACCCTTAAAGGGAATCTATGTATGCATGCATGCATATGAGCAAATTAAAAAGTCGATACAATTTACAGTCGAAAAGTACAGTTTTTGTATAGATTTCGTACTGAAGGAACAATTTTATTGCATAACACTGTGGGGAACTAAGCAAAATGGCCTAGTGTATTTCGCAAATATTCAAATACATAATCCACCAACCGATAATTTTATATATTCATTAAAAGATAATTTGTCATCATTCTGAAATAAAAAAATTATAAAGCGGAAGGGTAAAATAGTATTGTGTTATTAATTCAAAATAAAAAGTTTCATTTCACTGACGAAGGGGGGGATCTATCCCCCAAATCCCCCCTGGCTATGCCACTGATATATGTATGAATGAATAAAAAAAATTTAGTTTAGTCCGTTCTATTAAATTTCTGTTTAGCTTTCTTCCATTTACATTTTATTCTGTTTTAATTTCTTAGTTTTTTCCAAAAAAAAAAATCCCTACTTTAAAGATTTTGTGTTTCTTCGTCTTGTTTTTGTTTTCCCTCTTTTCTATAAAATTACCAAGTTATGATTTACGTAGGTCAAATCCTTAGTTGTAAGCCTATCTAAAAAAAAAGTTTTTTTTTCTCTCTTTCTTAGTTAAGTTTCAAGTTAATTTTAAGCAATACCCCAGAAAAAAAAAGTGCAATACTTCAACTTCAACTAGTTAAATGAAAAACCAATACTAGATCTTTGATATTTTTTCCCAATAATTGTATTCATTTACTTTATCAAAAGAATATAAAAAAATTTATGAATATGCATTAGTTTATAACAAGGTAATTTAATTGTAACATTATGCTGACATTTTCGTAGAAAATATTTATATGTGCAAAGAAACAAGTGTTAAGCTGAGATCCCACGATTGCCGCAATACACCAATTATTGCCTCATTTTATGCCCCAATCGTGTGATTTCACAATAAATTGACTCATGCGGCAATAGAGGCCGATATTGTGCTTACAATGCCCAATCAAATACAACCCACTTGCGGCAATCGTGTGATAGCTCGATTGGCAATCATGGGGCAATGAAAATTTCAAAATTGCGGCAATATTTATTGTGTTCTTGTGCGGAAATTGAAGTGAACAATACACAACAATATTTAGGCGGTTTATTTAAAATTTACTTTTTTGCTTCCTTCTATGTCCAAAAATCACTGAAATGAATATCCTTGTTTTCGGAAGCAACATAACTTTTAATTTAATTTGTATTCAAATTAAAATTTTTCTTGAAGTCCGATGACGGAATCTTTGCTGCGATATATACCACCACAAGCAAAACTCTTACGAGAAGAATACGAAATATATTTTATGTCACCAATTGGCAAACTGCCATGACAGTATAAATTTATTTAAAAAAAAACTTAAAAGTTCAATACAGCCCAGACGAAACGGTAGAACCTCAACATTTTGACCAGTTTTGACTATGATTCTTCTATTTGTTTAGTGTTCATTATTTTTCTATAAAAGTATAGCTCATTGTCTAACAAAACCGTATAAATTGCAAGCTTTATACAAAAATTATATAAATTTCTTAAATTTTTGAACACAATTGCACGGTTTTTAATTTCGATTTTTAGAAAAAAAAATTGTTATTCAGTTTTATAGCTCATTAAAATTTAGTACAATAAGGTGCAAGTTTGAAGTTGCTAAATAATCCTGTCGATTTTTTATAATTTTTTTAGCAGGCGGTATTATGCACTTTCTTCTATGCAAATTACTTTGTAAACAGCATAACAAATTCTTTTCTAGAAATCCAAATTAAAAACCATTGAATTGTGATCAAAAGTTTAAGAAATGTTTATAATTGTTGTATAAATCTGAAATTTTTATTTATTTTATTATACCTGTAATTAATAAAAAAGCAAAATTAAAAAGAAAACCAAAATTAAAAAGAAAACTCTTGTAACTTGAACTCCACATATTTAGCACGTTGCAGTTATCGGCGAAAAATAAAAAAACTGTACACTCAAACTTCTAAATAAATGCGTCAGTTTTCATTGGGCTCAAGTTTTTGCTTCTTTGCTTTCAAACAACAAATATGCATAAAATGAGCCCACAATATATAAATTAGATGCAATTTTCTTTTTTTTAAGACTACACCAGTTTTACACAACAAAAAACAAAACAGAATTTAGAAGTCAGCCAACATCTTATTTTCACGATTGCCGCATGCTATAACAATCGTGTGATAAGTTTGGGGCAATTATTGTCACTATATTGATTTTGACCAACTTGCAGCAATCAAAATTGTATAAAAAGAGGCAACCGTGTGACTGTACAGAATTTGATTGGGACAATTTTTTTATCGTGCTCCAATACAGCATAATAAAAATTGTTCCAGATTGGTGCATTTGCGGCAATCGTGTGATCTCAGCTTTAGGTTACCGACTACTTTTCAAAATGTTTTAAAGATAATTTTATTTGTTGGTATTGGATTGTATTTCTATTGCACAATTTTATTTGTTTTACGCTTTGCCGCATATATTTTACTGAAATTTTGTAGTAAAATTTGTATTATTTCCTCCTATTTGTAAAGTTTGGTTTATTTAAGTTTCAACACGTTATCATTCTGTTTTGAATAAGTAAAGTTTTGTTGGGAAGTAGATCTTACAAATCCCCAGTGGTATTAAAGCCCATATTTGAAGCTAGTTACTCTCGTTGTTCCTTGAATAACGATTTTTGTTGTTTGCTGGAATTTTCAAATATCTTCAGTCGAAACGAGCGAAAAATTTGCCAACTTAATGCGCAAAGAATGTTTCTGATTCTTGATATTAATTTTTCCCATAGTCAAAATATTTTATTTGTTTTCCAAAGCTATATGCTTTTTACTTTAAACCAAAGATCCTTTTCGCCAAGACAGGTTTGCCCATGGAAGCCGAATGACTCTCCAAGTTGTGTTGGGCACAGTGGCGGACCCAGGTAGGGGAAATTTTACACAGTTGAAACTCACAGCAAGTTTGAATATTTTCACAGGTTCAGAAAACAACGAATATTCCAAAATTTTGAATTTTATATTATTAAATTTCTTGAGATTTCTTATTTTTAGGATAATTTCCAAAATTTCAAAAACTATCGAAATCCGTTAGTTTCAAGGAATTTTGGTAAAATGAGAATATATTGAAATGTACAATATTGAGATTTTAGAAATCTTTATATTTTCCACAATTTTGAGAATTTTATTTATCCTTAAATCCATCATAAATGTAAAAATGTGAAACATCACAAATTGTCGAAAAATTCTTATGTTCATGGTACTTGTGTAAAAAATAGAAAATTCTTAGAATTCTAAAAGATAATATTATTTTTGAAAAATTCCAACATTGTTCCACTTTTCTGAACTTTTTCAAAATTTTGAATTGATATAACAACGTTTGAGAATTTTAAAATTTTTGAAAATTTTGAAAACATCAACGTCCAAAAATTTTTTGAATCTTCAAGAATTACGAAAACTTTCTAAATTTTCAAAAAAGACGAAATATGAAAATGTTTTCAACATTCGAAAAGTTTATTTTCGTTTGATCAATTTTGTATATTCGACACTTTTACTTAGAAAAAATTTGTTAGAATTCCTACAATTCTCAAAATCTTTGAAAAATAAAAAATTTCTATTAATCTAGTATTCATCATTATTATTGAATTATTGGGATTTACTAAAATTTCTCAAATTCAGAAAGTTTTGAAAGTTTAGAAAATTTTGGAATTCCACTCAAGTTATTAAAAAGGGGAAACTTCAAGAAATTAAAAACTATCAAAACTCTAAAAATTTTAAATTTTGGTGATTTTTAAA